TATATCACATCTTCTTTGATGTAGAAGCCTTTAGCTGAAGTCAATTAATTTCACAATCAATATACACTAGCTGCAAGCTAGATTGGCCAAAATTGCTCTTTATCCTCTTGGTTTCTGACATGTATGTAGATAGGTTTGGCTTGAATCGCTTGACTTGCTAGTCAATAGCAAGTGGATTCAAATTAGAGCTAATTTCTTGGCAATGTTTAGAAAATGGATAAAGATAGGTGCACCCACCGGTTCCACACCCGGGGTGCACACTCTACATAACCAAATGGTTATGAAAATAAAATTACAACTTTAGCCTTAAATGTCATCTTCCTCCCAATACCACTTTTCCTGCTTGTCTCCTCAAAGAAAACCAGCCCTCCCATCTTCGAAATCTCCCTCCTTTCTCCTCCTCTCTCGGATTCTTCCTAGATTGGGTTCTCCGAGAACCTAGGGCTTTCTTTCTTCTTTCCTTTTTTTTTTTTTCTCGATCTGGGTTTCTCCAGGAGAACTCGATCTAGGAAGTCTGCGTTCGGATTTGTTGAGGGAGGAGGAGGAAAGCGGCGGTGCAGGAATCGAGAGAAGAGGATGAGCAGCTATGGCGATGCAAGGAAGGGTCCAGATGTGATGGAAGGGAAGAGAGGGAGGAGGTCGGATTGCTACAGAGGTACTTGGAAGATCAACTGATGTTGGTTGGATCTGTGTACGATTGTGGGGAGGAGGAGGAGGAGGAGGAGGAAGATCATGGTGATCGGGATTTGCTGGAAAACCCGATCTGGGTTCTGCTGGAGAAAAAACGAGAAAAAAAAAAAGAGGAAGAAGGTGGGAAGGGTAAATTTGTAATTGTATTTTTAAAATTTTTTGATTTTGTAGGGTGTATTGAGTTGGGTGTTGATTCATGGTGTGCACCTATCAGTGTCCTTAGAAAATAGGCCACTAATGGGCCATAGCTTATGTACATAAGGGATATATATATATATATATCATTGGACTATTTTGCACAGTAGAATGTAGAAAAAAAGAGTGTGAGATACATCAACTAAAATTCTTAAGTCGTGACTAATGAGGATTTTGCATAACGCTGCCTCTTTAGAGTAAGATAAGCTAAGAAATGTACATCTTAGGCCATGAATAAGTTTTCTTCAAGTCTCCCACATGGAGTAGATATATCACATCTTCTTTGATGTAGAAGCCTTTAGCTGAAATCAATTAATTTCACAATCAATATACACTAGCTGCAAGCTAGATTGGCCAAAAATGTTCTTTATCCTTCTGATTTCTGAGAAGTATGTAGATAGGCTTGGCTTGAATCACTTGACTTGCTAGTCAATAGCAAGGGGATTCAAATTAGAGTTGATTTCTTGGTAGTGTACAGAGAATAAGGTACTAATGGGCCATAGCTTATGTACATAAGGGATAAATATATATAAGCGATATATATAAATATATAT